TTTGGCAGAATACCAAATTTCAATTGTAGTGCAACATAAATATTTACAAACAGTTTCAAAAATACAAAGCAATTAATAGGTTTTCCTATGAAATATATAAGTTATGTTTCAAATATTATTGACATCAGCAGAGATATTGTCTTCTAGCATGGCTTCTTCTAAAAATATGCACTGGTTGGGAACTTCGATTAAATGCTTTAGCACAATAAAAGTTGACTACCTCTCTTTTTTCAGATAAATCATGTAATAAATTATTATATATCCACATATAGGGCGTGTTCAAATCGGATATCTATCCGAATAGGGCTTTTCCTGATCCGATCCGAAATTTCAGATCAGGCTATATCTTGATCCGAATCGATCCGAATTATGGGGATATCTGGTCTTCGGATATCCGATTATTCAGATCAGATAATCTGATATCCGAAATTGATCCGAATTTTAAAATTTTCTTATTAAAATCAAATAATTCTAGCAATAAAACGAAATTATAATTCTTACATGATAAAAGATCTAAAAAAATTAACATGAAGCAAAAACATTAACCTATGTTGTCCATACACTGTCACAGCCTAAATGACTATGCTATCTTCATTGCCAATTCCTACTTGTCATCATCCTCCTGTACAAAACAAAACAAAAATAACCATTTCAATAAACAACTTTTAAGTTAACAAAAAATTAGCATAAGGAGCTTCCATTTTCAATACAGATTTGACTAAGCATATAAAAGGGTGTATTTGGTTTGACCGAGCTCGAAGCTAATATAGAATTAAAGTTAGTCAACAGTTTGAAGGGAGTACATAATGAGTTTCTTTGTTGGAAAAACATTAACAAAAAAGCATTAAGGCTAATCTAATAATGGTTGGTGTTAAGTAGGCATAAGTATGGCAAAGAATATAAAGAAATAATGAAGCTTGGTGTTGTCTCCTGCTTTTAAGTTGACTATATGTGAAAGAGTTTGTGGTGTTCTTACATAAAAAAGTAGCCTATAAAATTCAGCAAATTAAATTCTAAAGAAATTTACTTACAATCGATTTGGGGCTTCAAGTCAGAGAAATTGAGATCTGAGAGAGTTGAGCGAGAGAGCTGAGATCTAAGAGTGTTCGGCGAGAGAGACTGAGATCTGAGAGTGTTCGAGCGAGAATAGAGTGAGAGACGAGAGAGTTGAGTGAGAGAGACTGAGATATGAGGTGAGAGGTTTTAAGTGACTGTGTGTCTGTGTCTGTGCCGCTGTGCGTGTTCGAGCGAGAGAGATCGAGAGAGTGAGCGAGAGAGACTGAGATCTGAGTTTGAGAGAGTTTGAGTGCTGATTGACTATGTGTCTGTCTGTGCGTGTTCGAGCGAGAGAGACGAGAGAGTTGAGCGAGAGAGAGTGAGAGACTGAGATGAGATCTGGTTGAGAGAGGTTGAGTGACTGTGTGTCTGTGCGTGTTCGAGCGACAGAGAATGAGAGTGAGAGAGTTGAGTTAATTGTGTTAGACTGTTAGGGTTATTTTAAAACTCAAAACGAAGTAGTTTAGTAAATCCGGATCGGATACGGATCTCGATTTTTAACAATCCCGATCCGGTATCTGATCCGAATATCAGATTTTTTTAAATTACGATCCGCATCCGATCCAAATTTTCAGATATCCGATTTTTTCGGAGCGGAGCGGAGCAGATCAGGATCGGATATCGGATATCGGATTTTTTTGCACAGCCCTATCCACATATATATAGGATTCAAAGCAACGAATCTTTAAGTGATACAACGATCTCATCAAATCATGAAATTCAACAATACACCTTATCAATATATTAATGCTCGCATTTATTCGCATATTAATTATAACGAATATATCTAATATCTACCCTTTCTGTTCTGTACCCCTCCACATTCAATTAGACAGAAACAATGAAAGATAACGATAATCATAAAACATTTATCATGTGATGTGAAGAGGTTCTCTTAACTTAATTAATAATAATAAAACAGTTAACATCTACAAACATTGAATATATTGTATATAATAATACAAAATAGTATAAACCAATAACATGCAAACACTTGCAACAATTATAGCCTAAACCAATAACATGTAGACACTTGCTTTCGGGTTTTCATAAACATGTCTGTCACAATACAGTAGCTTGATCTCTTGTCTTTCTGTTTTTGCAAGAGCAGGTTGTAAGTTTGCGTTTTCATCCAGTAATCTTTTTCCTGTTTTAAGGACATCAAGATGTTCCCGACTCTGCACAAGATTTTCCAACGACTTTTACAATCTCCTGTTGTCTTTTAATTCATTATAGTTTCTTCATTCTTTTTGTAACAAAATTATGTCCCCAGTACACTTCCTTCTCAAGTTCTAGAATCCTTTGATTTCTTTCTAATCGTGCAATCACATTGGGTGAACTAGCCATCGTTGCTTTATTTCTAAGAACCCTAAGAAACCCTGTCAACAGAAATATTATATTGTAATTAGAAGATAAGTAAATAATTAGAAACCTATAAAATAAAAATGACGTAACAGACTCCACTCCATAACACTTTGAAATATAATATCATATGCTTTCAACATCAACTTTCAAAAACAAAAAGTCTAAGAAACCCAGTGAACAAAGATATTATACAATGCGTACAAAACAAGTAAATAATCGAAAGCCTGTAAATAACAATAGTACAGACTCTATCCCATAAACACTTTGATACTATCATTAGTATTAATGTATATACTAAACAATATAATAACAGGAATTGTACTATAAAATGGACAAAATATATTGACTAATAAGCGATAATGGAATTAATTTCAAACAAAAATAACCTAACAAATTGCACCCCATAAACACTTAAACTGTTTATATTATAATGCTTTCAACTTCAACCTTTCAGTCACCATGAGTAACCATTCAAAATAATAATTTAATTGTATTGATTAAATCATGACATAACAAACTATTAAATGCATATTTTTGTGCTCACAATTTAACGGTCATAAATTTTTCTGTTTTTTAATTCAAACATGAGAGGAATGCAGATGAATCTGCAATTCACTGAGGGTCAACTTGGGAAAATGAGGCAATTTTAGATTGACTTTCCAAAGTGAATTAGTTGGGTGGACAAAAAAGCAGGGAAGAAGGGGTAAAGATATACTAATATTAATAATAATTAATTGAATGTGAAGGGGTACATATATATTAATATTAAAATTAATTAATATGCATGATTATATGTTTGGTTTGATGACTTTAGTCTGATTCATTATTTACATCTATATAATTTTGAAGCACTTGATATTTGATTGCCACATAGGATCTCAGAATCTCTATAATTGCTACAAGTGTCTACATGTTATTGGTTTAATCTATTTGGCATTATTAATAACAGATATCTATATAACAAGATACATTCAATATTTGTTGGATGTGTTTAATTAGATAAATACACTTCACATTCACATTAAATGTTTTCTGATTATATGTTTTATAATTAAAATTTAGTTTTATGATTATAAGTTTTGTTTGATGAATTTAGTTTAATTCATTGTTTTTGTTTAATTGAATGTGAAGGCTAGGGGTAAAGATATATTAATATTAGTAATAATTAACTGAATGTGAAGGGGTACAGATATATTAATATTAAAATTAATTAATAATAATAATTAGTATGCATGATTATATGTTTTGTTTGATGAATTTAGTTTCATTCATTGTTCTTGTTTAATTGAATGTGAAGGGGTAAAGATATATTACTATTAATAATAGTTAATTGACTGTGAAAGGGTACATAAGTATTAATATTAATTAATATTCATGAACGAATGTGAATATTAATGGATTGATAAGGTATTATTTTGAATTTCATGAATGCGAAAAGATACGTTGTATCAGTTAAATGATTCATTACTTTGAATCATATATATATGTTGATATATTAACAGTTTGTTACATGATTTATCTGAATTGTACTAAGTATTTTAATTTTAATTTCAATGCTAATGTTAATATTTACTTGATATATATGAATGTAAAGTGACATATTTATTACCATTCATGAATTCGAAGAGGTAGTTTGTATTAAAAGCAAGATTCATTAAATTGAAACTATGTATATGTCTATTATGTACTGATTTTTTGTGCGGTTTATCACAACAAATAGAGGTGTTTATGCTGAATTTATATAGTTATATAATTTCTCCTGGATCATAATATTTGTTCACGTTGCTTAAAATTACGTGGTGTCAAAGTTATTGTATTAGTTTGTCTATATTTCTTTGGTTGGCTCGGAATTGTTTACCGTTGTATTGCTATAATCCTTTTTGAATTTTTTTCCCAGGTATAAAACCTGATGATGGATAATGGTGATGAAGAAATTACAGACGTAGTATCCTAGACATACGAAAAATTGAATATTTTAAAATTGAAGAGAAAGAGAAGTACATAATACTACTGTTATATTTATTTTTTCGAGAATTCCTTATTAATATTTATTGTTCCTAATTTTTTTCTTTTGTTATAAATTGTTAAAGATCAATATGAACAGACCAACAATATTCGATATAATGTACTTGAAAATCAAGGTAACTATTCTTTTATTTACATATAACTTTACTTCGTAGAACATATATGCATAAATCAAAGTATATAGTTTTCAATTCCTGCTGAATTACAAATTGATCATTTCAATCTTCCATCACTTGTATTTTATCAAATTAAAAGAGGAATGTGCAAGATTTGTACTGCAGATATTAATTGAATGTATGTGAATCATCCCTATTTTATCAACACCAATAAGCAGCAAACATGGAGACAAATTAACGACATCCTAAATGGCAATCATATAAGGGTTCTCAGCAATCTTTAAACATAAAAACCGGATTAAAAAAAAAAGGAACAATAACAAAATGTTCTATTATAATCAATATTTGACATTTTTTTTTGACGAAACAATAGTAATTTATAATTTCTTAAAATATAAAAATTTGATAATAAAACAAAATAATATAATAAATAAACTTACAGAATGCGCGGACGTGTCATCTAGTTTATGATATTTTGGGATACAAAGAAAGAAAATAAAAATTACCCATTTTGAGATAAGCGCCACCCCACTCCAACCGGAGCGATAGCTTTTAACAACTTGAAGGGCTTTTCGACTCTAAGCTTTCCGGAATAAACAAAGGAATGGAAATGGAAATGGGAATTCCTTCCTTTGTTTACTTAACTGATTTGAACGAACAATGAAGATTCCCTTCTTCACAATTCACAAACCAACTAATTTAAATTTACAAATTCATGAAAACCTAAAGATGAATCATATAGAGCGGTTTGGAGCAGTATTGTTTTCGATGAACCGATTGAACTCTTCTAAGTACTTGTTACGTAATTCCATGTTGCCAAAAGTCTCTCTCATGGCCCATGCATTTGCTCTCAGTGGCTCTCCCTCTTTCTCCACTAAAACTTGTCTAATGGACTTGGCCACACGCTCACTTGTAAATGAACCATCTTTGTCATCTCTTTCTATTTCTAACCCTACCCGCCTATGCATGATCCTTGCAACCAACCCCGTATCCGAACCCCCTGTAAGCATGATCAGTGGCCGCCCCAATCCAAGCGCCTCAATAACTGAACTCCAACCGCTGTGAGTCAAGAAACCACCAACCGATGAGTGAGCCAAGATCCTTAGTTGAGGTGCCCAATCCATCCATATCAAGCCCTGACCCGAAACCCGATCTTCAAACCCGTGCGGAACTAGATCCGAACCCATCTTTCCTTCAACAAGTGGCCGTTTGTTAATTACCCAAATAAAAGGGAACCCACTTTTTTCTAGCCCATAAGCCAACTCGTGCATAAGTTCTTGACTCAGAGTCAACAGAGTACCGAGTGCAACATAAACTACTGATCTCTCCTTCTTAGTGTCAAGCCAATCTTTTAAAACTTGCCATTTGCTATCAGCCACAGTATAATCTTGCATTGATGGTGGTAATAAGCTGACCGGAAGTACTGGTTTTTGTAAAAGTTTACTGAATACAGTAAAAGCTTCAGGTTCAAACTCAGGGCAGCTCCTCACAATCACGGCGCAGCAATCTTTAAGTACCGTTCCATAACGGTATAAATCAGACACCGAGTCCTTGCATTCCTGTTGACCCCTCATGATATCGTGGAGCTTAAACTTTATATTAGAATTAAAGTTTATCCACTGGGGGACCATCGTCAAGTCCTCGGCTTTCTGAAACCGACCATTGATTAAATCCGCGGGTGAACCGAAGAAAGAACAAGTGGTAGCGTTGACAATGCTGAAGTAAACTGTGTTGACACCGAGTTGAGCGGCGGCACTGGGTAACCAGTAGGAGGCAAAGTCTTGGATGATCCAAGTGACTTGTGAATTTTTTAGGAAGTTTATGAAAGGGAGTTGGAGCATATCGTAGGCTTGTTTTAGGTAAGGAGCTTTGTGAATGGGTAAATCAGCGGGGGACTCAGCTCCTTCTGATAAACCTTGAACGAGAGGCAAAGGAAGTTGAACGAAGATTAGCTGAGAAGATAAGTTATTAGGGATTTGAGGGAGACGATGAATGTTTTTTGGGGTAGAAATGAAGTAGACATGATGACCCTTTTCAACTAAAAACTTAGCCACTTGAAAAAATGGCATAATGTGACCGTAAGCTAGCCATGGGAACATTGCAATGTGAAGCTTTTCTTTGTTGTCCATGGGGGCTGATGCTGATGAAGTGTAGTTATGTGGCCATGTGGGTATATGTGAAGAGTAATTGAGCATAGATGAATTGATTCCTTGTAAAATTAAAATTAAAGATGAGGAATCTATCAGTTTGGTTATTAGTGTATTGTCTGGTTATAGAAAAGGAACCAAATCATCGTCACACATGTATCATGTTTATCAGGTACGTATACATGATGGTAATATAGAGTTAGGTTACAAGATTATAATAAAAATAAAATATTTATTATTAGGTATCATTAAAATATTGATAGTTATTCATAATCTTCGTTTCAAATTAATACATTATAATATTCATTTATAAATCATAAATAAAATACTTACAATACACTCCAATAGTTTACAAAATTATAATTCAGTCTCGATTCTTACTTAGGTGCCTGGATCTCAATTCTGATTCTCGGTTCCTGTAAGGGTGGATTCGAATCCGGCCGATTCTTGATTTTTAGAATCGAAACCTTCCCTGTAAGGGCCAATTCAAGGTAGGAATGAGAATCAAAACACTGAATACTTGTCGGTTTCGATTCCAATCGGTTATTTTGCACACCCCTAAGAATAAATCCTATAAAATTCATCTAATGTTATTGATGGAATTAAAGAAGCCAAATTTATTGATACAGTTCCCCAAAAAAATTCTCTGTTTATTATTTTTCTTAGCTGGGAGGAGTTGTTGAACTGAATTAATTAAAAAGGATTCTGTTTTATGGCTCTGTTATGAAGGATTGCGTATTATTCCCAGTCATTGTTTAGGGCTGTTAGTGGGAGACATTTTGTCTCTTCTATTATTAGGGCTATTATACAAGAAAGTAATTAATATTTAATAGTGATGTCGTTTTATAAGGCAATATAAATTGATTAAATTCACGCAAAAGTAGCCCACCTCAATTAATTAATCTCTGTGTAGTCAACTACTGATAACTTTAAAGCAGAGGTAAGGGTCCATGGGGCATCAAGATAATCTTGTTAAAACCAATACCAATTATTGCACCAATAAATAATAATAATATAGGCTGAATAACATTTTGTCCCTTAATCTTTTGCAAAAGACATTTCTCCCCTTGACCTTGGGAACACTCATTTCACCCCTAATGTTAGTCTACGTCTATCTAAATTTTCGATTTGAGCAGCTTTGATGACTAAAATTCTAGTTTTACACTTATTTTCATTATTAGAAGAATAAACATTTTAAAATTAATTAATAAAAAATTATTAAAAATACCAAATTAAGAAAATCATCAAGTATAAAAAATTAATCCTAAAAAGTTCATCCAAAATCGAAAAATGTGATCATCTGATTGTACGTTTTGTGATTCTTGATGGTTTTCGATTATTAAGGTGTATAATTTAGGGAAATTAATTTTAAGAGATTTAGGATTTATTTGTATTTAGTTGCAAGATTTAAACTTTGAGTTAGGTTAGGTTAGGTTTTTTGGTTTTCTTAGTGTTATATATGTGAGATGAACCGATAATATTACCCTTTTCTTAGTTAAGTTTAACATTTAAATTTGAAAAATGGGGGTGACACAGGTGTTTTCGAAACTAGAAACTAAAAGGAAGAAAGTTGTCCTTTCATGATAGGTTGGAGATAAAATGTCATTTTACCAAATTGTATATATCAATTCGTTTTCACCTTCAACGAAGTTCCCGTAAACATTAAAAAGTTGTCCTAAATTGAAGGAAAATATGGAAGATACAATACTATCACCATTGTTGTGCAGTGGACTTTTTAGTGGCCAGATTTGCGCCACATGTCCTTACACCATGACAAGATCTAATGGTCAAGCTTGCCCCACGTGTTGCTCCCACAACATATGACTTCACTAACAAGATCATCAGTTTTAAGCATGGGTGTGCCTAGCTAGGCCTGCATACGAACCGAGCCGAGCTGAACACCTTTATGTTCGAGGTCGGTTTGTGAAAATATGAAGGAGTTCGAGTTCGAATTCGTCGAGCCTAGGAAAACCCTAATCGAATTCGAGCTCGAGGAATTTACTGGAGTTCGAGATTGGTTCAAGTTCAATTCTTTTGTTACCCGAGTTGTCTTAAGCTCGAGAAGGAGCTAGAATTTGTGCTCGCATCAGAGTTCGAATTCGAGCTCAAAAAAAATAAAAAGACGTGAATATATATTGGAGATTTTGAAAGCCCCTATAATATTCATCAAAAACTCTCTCTAGATTTTGTGAAAAACTTTCTTAATAGATACAGTCAGTACAATTTATATTCAATTAATAATATTATATCATGTTAGGAAACAATCAAGATAAGGCAGCGGAAAAACAAAATATTTACAACATGGATCGTTCCTTAGAACCAAGATCAGGGTACAAATTTACAATTTATTCAATAAATAAGAATCTGCAGATTTTCAGTTTAGAGTTTAAGAAATCATACGCACGTTTGGAGGCTCCTCCAACTTGTTTCTGAGCGTATTTCGCTACCGACCCAAGTGTAGGATCGAACCGGTGTAGTCCACACAAAGATAACCTCAAAGAACTAAAGAAGGATTTGCTAGATCCTTTTTAGCCTTTAAGAACCAAGAAGAAAAATCAAAGTAATTTGATTCAAGCAAAAATGCAATCTGGTGTGACAGTGTTTTCAAGGGGCTAGAGTGTTTCAATTGTGAATGAAATGAATGAGTGAATTATTTTATTTCACAAAGTGTGCACTTATATAGTGCACACTATACCCTATTCCATCATGGAATAAGCTTAGGCTCCAACCCAAACACCCGTTGTAGTTGTATCCAAACATCAATTTTAAGATATTTTTAATTTTAATTTATCATTATCTCAATTAAATTCAATTAATATATATTTATAATATATATTAACATTTAACAATTATGATAATTTATTTAAATATATGCTAACACATATTTAAACGTAATCTTACTTATTTAATTTTAATATCAAATTAAATAAAGGCTACGACCTCAGCAAATTTAATTGCACTGTGAAATTATCAAAATACCCTTTCGCCTAAAAAGATGAAATCACCCTTCTTCTAAACTGGTTCTTAAATTATTTTCTATACGTGTGACCCATAGGCTCCTCATCATACCGGTAGTGTGTAGTATCGCGATTAACACCAATTAATCATCTCACTATACACAGACCAAGATTGGCCCCTAGCAAGGCATCATGGCCACCTGATAAATTCGGATTCAGCGAAGCAGCTACCTGTCAACGATATGGTTACTGTATAATCTGATCATTTCATCATCCGTTATCTCGACGAGACTGTGACATAGAAATAGTGTCAACCTCGGTTACTCTCGATATTATGTATTCAGTTACTGGACCAATGATCTGTATTATAAACTGGATAGAGCAACAACTCAATCCCACTATGGCCACAATTTTAGTGTCATTGCCATTTACTGAATTGCGCCGTGAGATAACTTCTCCCGTACCCGGGAGTGATGAATCCTCTGTCTATCCACCATAGTCTTGATACACTCTTTAATGCAGCCAATCACCACTGTATTGACAGCTCTGAATAGAACTGCGTTAGGCTAGTGTCAAACTACACCAATCGGTGCACAAGGCACTCCGGTGATCTCAAGTCTAAGGATCACATGCACCACCATTCGTTAGAGGATTTGTTCCATAGACACTGGGGTTACCATTCATATGGAATCCTCTGGTGGGTCAGTCCAGTGAACTTGCGTACAGCAAGCACCCATGTGTTGCACCAGGTTGCACCAAACAACCTTGACAAGTGAGATCAGTCACTGCCTTTCGACAGGGTCGTTCAACACTATGATAGCCTTACTGTATTATCTATGCCCTTTACTTCAGAATAATATTGGGGCTACGGACATTTCTAGAACTGCCACCTTATGTGCTTATAGGGTTTTCACTATCAAGATTTGAAACACTTGATATCCTCATCACTGTTCCACCATTCTAAGGACATATATCAATACATACAATGATGATGTACGCGATATAGTATAAAATGCCTTTTATTCATCAATGAATGTTATTACAAAGAGTCAATTCTACAATAATTGATTGACTTTGGGGCACCTACTCTAACATATCCAACCAACAAAAATTAAGTTAAGGAAAAGTCTTCTGTTTTTTCATTTTATTTTATTTTTTATGAAAATCAATGTAAGTTAAGGAAAAGTCTTTTGTTTTTTCATTTTATTTTATTTTTTTATGAAAATCAATGTAAAGAAAACTAGATATTTCCATTGATAAAATAATCTTATATAAGCTAGCACACAGATCAGCAAAGTAAAAATAATAAGATCTCGAGCTTTATTATAATTCTACTTGTTCAAATTTGATTTACATTTTAATAAATTAAATCCATTTATGCCACACATTTATGTAATCCTACATAAAAAAAATGAACGTGTGACCTGAATGTCTAACATTTTTATCGAGCACATAATTTATAATTATCCCAAATATGTCTTCTAGATTTGTTTCTTCATATACATCATGTAGATGGAAAAATCTATCTTTACAAAAATAGAGACTGATCCCGTGAGATTGAGGCCACTAGCAATCTACTGTACCTGCACATGCAAGAAAACAAGCGTGAAGCGGACGAAAAACATCGGGGTGGTGTTTGCCTTAGGCACTCTAACGCTCAAGTCAGCAAGACTAAGTGAGGCTAATTTAGTGAGGGTCAGGGAGAGAAAAAGTTACCAGACTTCTAGTCGGAGACTATAACTACAGTTGTAATGCGAAGTTCTCAAGAGTGGGAACTGCAAGGTCTGAAGGTGTAATGTATGTTCCCTTGTGAGAGGGTTGGCATCTGTTTAAATAGCGATTATAGGATCTTCAAATCCTGATGGGACTGAGAGTCCTTGGAGTTGAGGTTTTGTGAAAGAGGAGAACCTTTGGCTCCCTTACCTTAGTAGGAAAAGAAGTCCTAGCGTGTCTAAGACACGGATCTTAGATGAATTAGGGTAATGATGGACCTCTTTAATAGAGTTCGAATAGTACCGGGGTATGTAGGCAACCCTGGGCTCCAAATAGATC